CGATCAGCTGCCTCGTGCACACTCCCCACTGGGTATGTGCCCACAACCAAGGTACATGCCCTTGACTGGAATCAAACCTGGGACCCTTGAGTCCGCAAGCCGATGCTCCATCCACTGAGCCAAACCATTATCCATTCATCCATCCATGGGCACTTAGGTTGTTTCTCGATCTTATTGTGAATAATGCTGTAATGAACATGGGGGTGCCGCTATCTCATCCATATCCTGTTTTCATTTCCTTTGGCTAAATACCCAGCCCTGGAATGGCTGTATCGCATGGTAGTTCTATTGTTAACTGTTTAAGGAACCTCCATACTGTTTTGCATAGTGGCTGCACCAATGTACAGTCCCACCAACAGTTCACGGGGGTTTCCTTTTCTCGCATGCAGAAGCTGTGTGGTATGTGTATACAACGAGTGCTATGCAGCCACGAGGGAGCAGGAGACCCTGCCATGTGCAACACATGGATGAAAGTTGAGAGCATTATGCTAAGGGAGATAAGTCAGACAGAGAAAGACAAAGACTGTATGATCTCACTTACATATGGAATTTTAAGTAGCCAAGCTCATAAAAACAGAGAGTAGGCTGATGGTTACAAGGACGAGGGGTGGGGCAGTAGGAGAGATGGTGTTCAGGGCGACTTAGAACCAGTGGATAAATAAGTCCTGGAAATCTAATACATGGCAGAGTGATCGGAGACAGCACCACTGTATTATGGATGTTAAAGTTGCCAAGAGACTAGATTTTAATTGTTTCCACCCCCAAAACCAAAATGATAATTATGTGACAGATAGAGGTGTTGGTTCATGCTATAGCGGCCATCACATTACAACTAGAGGCCTGATGCATGAAATTCGTGCATGGGTAGGGTCCCTAGACTTGGCCAATGATCAGGGCCTATCTGCAAGGAGACTGGCGGGGTGATTGGGGGAGCCCTCCCCCCGCCACCCCGCACTGGCACCCACCTTGGCTGGCCTGGGGACTGCAGGCTGGGGGCAGCTCCTGTGTTGAGCGTCTGCCTCCTGGTGGTCAGTGTGCATCATAGCAACCAGTTGTTCCACCAATTGTCCTGCCGTTTGGTCAATCTGCATATTAGGCTTTTATTATATAGGATTATATAGGACAGTGATGGCGAACCTATGGCACGCGTGTCAGAGGTGACACGAGAACTCATTTTTTTTGGTTGATTTTTCTTTGTTAAATTGCATTTAAATATATAAAATAAATATCAAAAATATAAGTCTTTGTTTTACTATGGTTGCAAATATCAAAAAATTTCTATATGTGACACAGCACCAGAGTTAAGTTAGGGTTTTTCAAAATGCTGACACGCAAAGCTCAAAAGGTTCGCCATCACTGACATAGGATATACTAGTATAAATATATCAAATCAACACGTGATATACCTTACCCTTATAGGTCAATTATATTGCAATAAAAATACATTTAAAAATAAATAAACAGGAGCCCTGGAGGATTCAAGAAATGCTGTCCTGGTCCAACACCGTCATCGGTACTTGGAGGGAAAGTGAGGGTCGGAGAGGGGCATGGCTTGCCCCATGTCACACAGCCCATCAGGCGAGGAGCCCAGACAAAGACCCAGGTTTCTCTGCTGTCAGTGCTTCCCACTTCAAGCAGTTCCCTCCCCCACACAACCTCCGTGTGACCTTCCAGATCCAGCAGAATGTTGGCTCTCCACAAAGGCTTTCTCAGTGGCCGCCCGAGACTCCCTTGGTGGCATTCATCTCTGTGTATTTTCAGTTCTCTCTCTCCCAGCCCACTGTCCCCACACAAGACCTGCAGACTCTGGAAAAGAATTCAGAGCTCTCCACAAGAGGAAGGCGCCTGCTACAAAAGATCCATGAGCTGATTGTGCCCCTCAGGGTCCAGGCAGGAAACCGGAATCCAGCTCAGATGGCTCTTGGGATTCAAATGAAGAGGCTGGGAGAAAGGCTTAAGGAAACTGGGGAAGGAAGTTGCAGCCCCAGGAACTAGCATCTCTAAACTTGAAGGGCAAAAATGGAGTCGGGGCATCCACGCCCAGTGAGGGCTGGAGACTGGTGAGGGGCTCAGGGGTGACACGATCATAGCCAGAACTCTCTGCCCACCTGTGGCTGAACCCAACTACAGGTGGGGAAGCTGAGTCACGGAGTGCCCAAAGTACCCAGTGAGCGAGTTAGGGTTCACACCCAGGCCATCTGTCCCCAGAGTCCACACTCTTCACCTTACACTATGTTCTGCTTTATGTTCATTCACTCTTTAAACCAGCGGTTCTCAACCTGTGGGTCGCGACCCCTTTGGGGGTCGAACGGCCCTTTCACAGGGGTTGCCTAAATACATCCTGCATATCAGATATTTACATTATGATTTATAACAGTAGCAAAATTACAGTTATGAAGTAGCAACGAAAATAATTTTATGGTTGGGGTCACCACAACATGAGGAACTGTATTAAACGGTCGCGCAATGGGAAGGTTGAAAATCACTGCAAAAACAATTACCTCCTACATCCACTCAGCATTCTGAGCACTGTGGTTTCCAAATTCTGGGTTTTCTAAATTCTTTTCAACCTTTGTAATCAGAACACAGTAAATATTGTTCTTTTGAAAGGGGGAGCATGTTCACTGCTGTGGGACTTCCTGGTGACAGGGTGGTGGCAGCTGTGGCTTTCATAGAAGTGAGTGGACAGCCTGGTAGGAGAAAGGCCTGGGGGTTCTGACCAGCACTGGGGTCACACTGTTGCTGGGGCCCCTGCTGGGTCACCAAGGCACCTTGAGCAGGGGGAGCCCCTATAGCAGTGGAGGCCTGGCCTGAGGCCACAGGGCACGCCGGCCAGGGCAGATCTAAGGTCCAATGTTTGCCGCCGTGGGAATTCCCCCAGCACCCACAAATGGCGCTCAGCCTGGGACATCCTCCAACTGCCACCAGAAGACAAACCTCTGTGTCCCCATGATGTCCTCACTCTCACACTCTCCAAGGGTGAAAGGGCCCATGGGAGTCACCTGCTCTGTCCTCATTTTACAGAAAGAAACTGGGGCACTGGAGGACACAAGGCTTGCTGAGGGTCACAGGCCAGGCAGGGCTGAGCCAGGTTGGGACACTGGTTTCCTGATTCCCAGCAAAGGACCGGTCCCCACCCCGGCAGGCTGAGCCCAGGAAGCAGAAGCCCCCAGGATGGCTGAGTCCTCTCAATCCTGCCTTCAGGAGCACCTGGGCTGCTAGGGCGACAGCCAGGACCTCAGGAACCACAGCCCGAGGACAGAGGAGCTGAGAGGCCTGGGCTGTGTGCTCCGTGTGGGGAGTCCCCAATTCTAGTGCCTTTTGTGACCCGCGGGGGAGACACTGTCACCCCACCCCGTTTGATTGGTTGAGGCAGTCACCATGACCTCCCAGTTTCAAGGGCGGGCACCCAGACTGCAGCTTTTGATGGGAGGAGTAGCAAAGAATTTTTGTCCGTATTTTTAAAGGACCACAATTAGGAAACAGCAGAGAATGGATAATGCTGTGGTGGAGAAAGTGCAGAGGACTCTGGGACCGCAGAGAGGGCCTTTCTCTAATCCAGGAAAACCTGGGGGAGACTAGGGAAGGCTTCCCGGAGGTGAGGGTAGAACAAAACTCACAAATATAGGGAGTCCTTGGGGACCCCAATGAGTTTAGCACAACCCCTACTATAGATTTTGTTTTCCCAAATGAAATTTCATCATCTTTACTTGCTGCAAATACAATATTACCCAGAACCATGCCCCCCCAAAAAATTTTAAATACCAGCAAGCAAACAGATTTTTATTATTTTTATTTACTTATATTTTTTTTGATTAATCCTCAGCCGAAGATATTGTTTCCATTGATTTTTGTTTGTTTGTTTTTTAGAGAGTGGAAGGGAGGGCGGGAGGGAGGAGTAGAGAAACATCCATATGGGAAAGACACAATTGGTTGCTTCCTGCATGCGCCCTGACCAGGGATCAAACCTGCAACCCAGGTACGTGCCCTTGAGTGGGAATCAGACCCAAGACCCTTCGGTGCACGGACCGACGCTCTAACCACGTAGCAACACCAGCCAGGGCAAAAGTATTTTTTTAAAATACCTATAATCCTGCCCATCCAACCAGAGACAATCTCTCATAACTCCTTGCTAAGAATTCTTCTGATTGGCAAACATGGAAATAGAACAAAGAACAGAACCTCACCCGATGGTGCCATGAGAAACCGACCCCTCCTGGCTCTCCTTCCTTATCAAGAAACTCACTGATTGCTGCAGCCTCACTTTCCATGGCTGTCTCAGCGTTAGCTTCACCCGTGCCCCTTGGTGGGACACCTTAGGTCGGTCCCCCTCCTTCTTGTTTCACGTAGCGCAGCAACGGGCACCTTGGAGCAGCGACAGGTTTGCACGCTGACTTAGCTCTGTAACGCTGGGTCAGGTGGCTGGTGTTTACTGACTTGCCGTTGTTACTCACCTTCCTGAAATGTTACTACCACCCTGTTTTCCCAGGGCGGGGTGGGCATGGGGGTGGGGACGGTTCTTTGTTAAACAGAGTGGAGTATAAAGAGGAGAGAATCTGGAGGCGCCAGGCTGGCTTTGAGTCCCAGCTCTGCCCTTTCCTGGGTATAAATCTTTAAAAAAATATATATTTTTTTTTATTGATTTTTTTACAGAGAGGAATAGAGAGTTAGAAACATCGATGAGAGAGAAACATCGATCAGCTGCCTCCTACACATCTCCCACTGGGGACGTGCCTGCAAACCAAGGTACATGCCCTTGACTGGAATAGAACCTGGGACCTTTCAGTCCGCAGGCCAATGCTCTATCCACTGAGCCAAACCGGGTAGGGCCTGGGTGTAAATCTTGAGCATGTGCCAGCCTCTCTGAGCGTCATTCAGCCTTCCTAGCAATGCTCATGGGGTTTTGTGTGAGCGGGGTGGACAGATGTTGTCACCTGGGGCCGGGCCGACCTACCCTCTGACCCTGGGGCAGCAGCAACTGGCATCTAAGTCTGACCCATGACCCCGGCTGTGTCGCAAGCAGGTTCCAGACCCTGTGCCTCCCCCTCCTGTCCTGATTCCAGGAACCTGTCCCCACACAGGAGCTGCCCCAGCCAGCGCAGCTGCTACTTAAGGAAGCTGGGCCCCGCCTGCACTTGCGCAGTCCTGCCCATCCACCCGGACTCCAGGATGGGGGCCCCGGCCAGGGTCCTGCCCTCTCTGCTGCTGGGGCTGCTGCTCGCGTCCTCCCCGGGGGCCCCGGGGGCCAACCCCGGCCTGGTCGCCAGGATCACCGACCAGGGCCTGCAGTATGGTAAGGAGCGCTGGCTGTGGGCTGGACTGGCTGACCCGCTTGGCACCAGGCTGCTCTGGGTTCGCGGTGCACAGACAGGGCACTCTTCCTCCGGGCATGTGGCCTTCCGGCCAGGTGGCCCTGGCTGGAACTCTGGCCTCATCACCCTACCGCTGAGTCGCTCAGGCACTTCCTTGTCTTAGCTGGGTTCCCGCCAGTCAACAGACACAAGGATTTGGGTGCAAGTAGTTGATTTGGGAGTTGATTTCAGGACACACCGTAGGGGAGAGGCAACGGGAGATGGGAGAGGGCAGGAGGGCAGGAGGGGGATGTTATTAAACCAGCTCCCACCCAGGGACTGCAGCAATTCCACTGGGGAAATTCTTGGTAAAGTTTGAAAATATGTGCCTGAGAACTAGAAGTCAGAACGGTGGTTACCTCTGGCCAGTGGAGACCGGGAGGCGTACGAGGGAGCCTGCAGGGTGCTGGGAAGGTGCTGCCTACCTCTCAGCTGGGGTGGTGGTTACAGGTGTGTATCGAAGCTTTAAAATTACCTGGCAATTTCTTACGATTGGTGCCCTTTGGGTATTTACGTATTTTATGCCTCCATTTTAAAGAATAGGCAAAAGTAGGAGTATTTTTTAAAAGATGCTAAACCAATGCATCAGAATTCATCCATCCATGGGGGCAAGGGATCGGGGGTATTTATACACTGCTCCCCACAGAACTGATCAAGGGCAGCTCCTCATATTCAGGGAGCCTCGATTGCCTTATCTATTAAATGGGGTAATAACATTCCCTCAGGAAAGGTTGCTGGGAGCCCAGACTGGCTGGGGGCAGAGAAGGAAGTCAGGGAAGTCTTCCCGGGGAGGGGAGGTAGAACAGGTAAGGGGAGTTAGCCAGAGGCAAGGGGTGGCACTCCGCACAGGGACTGGCTCATGCTTTTGCTGAGGAAGGAATGCATGTTGAAAAGAGGCAGACCGCTGGTCAGCGGCGTAGGCATGTCCTCCTTGAGGGCAGAGTCCTGGCTCCCTCATATTTCAGAACAAGCAGAAGGTCCTGTTTATACTGAAACCCTAAATCAAGCAAAATTTGCCTTTGTCCCTTCCGCGTGTGACTGTGCCATGTTTATTTAACCCGCTCTCTGGCGTTGGGCTTTTTGGTCCTCCCAGTGTTTTTACTGTGTAAACCCGCCTGGCCGTTCCCGGCATTGCCGAGTGCCTGCTGTGCGCCAGGCACCTTGCCAGGGCTGCCTTTGATCCTCCCAGCCCCTGTGTGCTCTGCGGGGGTTTCCTTTCATCCTCGCGCACCCCAAGGAGGAAAGTATCATCACTGCGTTTTGACAGATGGAGAAAGTGAAGGCTGAGGACTTGTTCAAGGTCACCCAGCTAGAATGATGCCAAAGCCTGGATTCTATCCCTAAAATCCTCACAGTTTCTTCTGCTCAGGCTAGAAGGCACGTAGCTGGGTTCCCAGGAGCCAACAGACACAAGGATGCAAGTAGTTGATTTGGGGGTGAATGGGAACCACCCATGAAGGGACGAGAACCGCCCACACAAGCACGCGGCCGGCCCTTCTCCCCTCGTGGAGTTGCTGACACGGGCATTCTGTTTGCGCACCATGAAATGGGCACGTAACCCATGTAATGCCGTGATATCCCCAGTGTTTCTCAAGCCACCTGGCATGCAGAAGGGCTCCATAACCCGTAACTGGAGTGAGCGTTAATAAGGAAGTCGGCGTCTCTCCCTGGGTGGTGGGAGCCTCTGAAGGGATTGGAGGGGAGGGAGGCAGGCTGACTAGGTTGACTCTCAGCTTCTTCCTGTCCACAGTGGCCAAGGAGGGGCTGGTGGCCCTGCAGAGGGAGCTGCATAGAATTACGCTGCCTGACTTCACTGGGGACTTCAAGATCAAGCATGTTGGGCGTGGGCACTACGAGTTCCACAGGTGGGGCCCCGAGCGGGCTGGGCAGGGGTGGGAGCCTGGAGAGGGAGGGGGAGCCCGAGGAGTGGGTCGGAGCCCTCTGGGACAGACAGTGGCATAGTTTCTCACCGAGTTCAGAAGGAAGTTCCGGGAGGGAACTGGCTCAGCTATTTGCTCATGAAACAAATATAAATGAGGACATACTGACTGTGGACCTGAGCCTCAGTTTCCTTACCTGTGAAATGGGGATGACTCTGCTACCTCCTTTGGGTAATAATAATCCAGGCTCTCCAGTCTGACCCCTTGGATATAGTCCGGAAGGGAAGATAGACCTTAAACTTTAGACACAGTAGCCCAAGGGTTAGAGCTGAGGTTTGAACATCTGGAAGAGTCAAGGAAGGCTTCCCAGAGGAGGTGGCATTTGAGCTGAGTCTTCAAAGGGTTATTATATACTAGAGGCGCGATGCACGAAATTCATGTACAGGTAGGGTCCCTAGGCTGGCCGGCGATCAGGGCCGATCAGGGCCTCCGGCTGCCAGCCGGGGCCTGCCTTCCTTCTGTGCCCTGGTGGTCAGTGCACATCATAGTGATCAAACTCCCAAGGGGACACTTTGCATATTAGCCTTTTATATATATAGCTGAGCAGCTGATGCTAAAACAAAGAAAAGACATGAGGCAGTGTTTGAGGGGCAGACAGTGAAAGGAGGGGAATTGAGCCCACAGCTCCTCACTCCCTCCCTGCTCATGACCATTGTTTCCTTCCTTCCTTCTTTTATTCAGTCCACCAGCAAGCGTTTATTGAGCACCTACTCGTTACCAGGCAGATAAAATGGAACGTGGCCATTCTTTTCCCACTGATGGCCCACAACAGTGTGTCATCTTGGTTTGCTGCCCTCGGCCCTTTTGGCGTCTGTATTCCAGCTGCCCTTGGACTTCCCTGAATCTGATCCTCACTCCCCCCACGCACACACACCTGAATGTATTAAGGGAGGGGATGGCAGGGGGAAGGAGGTGCAAACCCAGAGGGGTGTGTCCACGACCGTACTCAGATCCCACCCCCCCCCCGCCCCCCACCCCCCCCACCCCCATGCATGAGATCTGTAGGCTTGATCCTGAGTATGTGACTTTGGGCAAACGCCCCTCTTCTGTGAGTTTCTATCTCCTTCTCTGTGAAAGGGAACAAGGATAGTCCTGACCCCTCTGTGAGTGCGAGGTGCTTGCCTGGCGGTGTGGTTGGTGTGGGGCGCACAGCAGGCACTTGGTACGTGGGGGGAACCAGACACCTGCCTGAAGCAGCCCTGCTGGTCCAGTTCCCACTGCGGGGAGGTACAAGGCGAGATCAAGGCCCCGGCCAGGGCTGATGCTCCCTCCGTGTCTCTCTCCCCAGCCTGCACATCCACAGCTGTGAGCTGCTGAGCTCTGCTTTGACACCCCTTCCTGGCCAGGGCCTGAGCCTGTCCATCTCCGACGCCTCCATCCGGGTCCAGGGCGACTGGAAGGTGCGCAAGTCATTCCTGTAAGTTTGCTCGGCTCCCAGGCTCTCGGGCCCTTGGCCTTGGTCCCATTCTTCTCGGGTCCAAGTAGCTCCTCCCTCTTCAGAAGGCCACATGGTGGATTCCACAGCCAGAGACCCCCAGGTTCCAAGTCCTGGCTCTTGGGCCAATTTCTTCCCATCTTCTGCCTCCCTGGTGGGGTGTCCGTGAGAAAAGTGAGATAATCCCGTGCTTTCTCGGTTTGCTTCCCCCGACAGCAGACCCCAAGGCTTCACGTGAAGGTACCTTATCTGGGAAATGATCTAAGGAGGCACCCGTAGCCGTTGGGGGAAGGGAGGCAGGAAGGGAAGGAAGACACTCTGAGACCCTCTGGGGACAGTGTGGGTGGGGCACGCCTTTGAGTTACCCCAACGCAGACGGGCGACCGTCTTCCTATTTGCCATTGGTCAAGGGAGGCTCCCCAGGCACTTGGACCCTCCAGGGTCCTTGGATGGAAGGTGGGTTTGTCTGCCGTTACGAAATACCCCAGACTCCCAGTTGAAGCATCAGAATTTTATTTTTCTTGCACGTCTGGAGGCTAGGGGTCCGAGATGAAGGTGTCAGAAGGTCTAGTTTCTTCTGAGTCCCCTCTCCTTGGCTTGCAGATGGCCGCCCCCTGTGTGTCCTCACATGGTCACCCCTCTGTGCATGCACCCGGGCCTCTCTGCGTGGGTCCTAACTCCTCTTCTCACAAGGTCACCAGTCAGATGGATTAGGGCCCATCCTAGGGGGCTTGTTTTAACTTAATCACCCCTTTAAGGCTCCGTTTTCAGTACAGTCACATTCCGAGTCCTGGAGTTTAGGCCCTCTACGTATGGGCTGGGGGCGGGGCCCAATTCAGTCCGTAAAAGAGGGCTGCCCAGTCTCTTCTGGGGAACCTGGCCTGTTCACTTTAGACCTGCACTGTCTGTGTAGCAGCTGCTGCCACATGCCGTCACTGAGGATGTGAAAAGAGGCTGGGATGACTGTGTGAAACCCCCGATTTGAAGATTTTAGCACAAAAAGAACACAAGAAACCTCATTAATAATTTTTAGATTGATTACATGTGGAAATGATAATTATAATGAATTACTCTTTTTGCCTTTCTTAACATGGCTACTAGAAAATTTTAATGACCAATGTGGCTCACAATTATACTTCTGTTGGACAGTGATGCTTTAGCAAGATGTTCAGTGTGTGTGTGTGTGTGTGTGTGTGTGTGTGTGTGTGTGTGTCAACTATCTATGCACATTCCTTCAATTCCATGAAAGAAATCAGACCACACTCTTCTGCCCTGGCTTTTTTCACTGAAGTATATTCAAGATCTCTTTATAGGAGAATGTAAAGGTTTACCTCATTTTTTTAAACCTTTATTCCAATGTAAAATTTTTATTGAGGTGAAATCCACAGAATATAACATTAACCATTTTAAAGTATATACTGGTAAGTCAGTGGTGTTGGTACATTCACAATATTGTGCAACCACTACCTGTGTCTAGTTCTAAAACATTTTGTCACCCCAAGACATAAATGACCCCATACCCATTAATCAGTCACTGCCCATTTCCCCCTCCTCTACCCTGAGGTAACCACCAGTCTGCCTTCTGTCTGTGGATTGCCTGTTCTGGACATTTCATATCAATGGAATCATACAGTATGTGACATTTCGTGTCTGGCTTCTTCACTTAGCATCATATTTTTGAGATTCATCACATTATAGCATACATCAGGACTTTATCCCTTTTTGACCTTTTTCTAAAAAAATCCTCATCCGAGGATATGTTCATTGATTTTAGAGAGAGAGGAAGGGGGGGAGGGGAGAAACATTGATGTGAGAAACATCGACTGGTTGCCTCCCATACATGCAACTTAGTTATGTGCCCTGACTGAGAATCGAACCCTCGACCTTTTCGTTTATGGGACAATGATCCAACCAACTGAGCCGCACCAGCCAGGGCTGGCCTGATTCTTTTAAACGGCTGCATAGCATTGATGCCCACAACTCACTGAACTGTCCCTGCTGGTTGACCTCTAGGTGGTTTTCTCTGTTTTTGCTATTACTCGTGACACTTCAGTGAACTGCCCACACATATATCTTGGCCAGAAGAGCCGCAGAGTAAAGGCTTAGAGGTCAGGTTACTGGGCCAAAGATGTGTGTGTCATTAGGAGGGACCCCACAAATCTGTATTCCAGAGGTGTTCGCCCAGCCACAGCGCCTGGGGCTTCTGTGGCCCCTACCTTCACAAGCACTGGCCTTTAAAACTTCAGAAGTTTTATCAACCTGATCGGTGGAAGCTGGCATCGTAGTGATTTTTATTTTTAATAACTTTCACATGCTCATTTGCAGTCAAACTTCCTGTTCCTGCCTTTGATCTCTTTTCTGTTTGGTTGGTTTGTCCTTTCCTTATTAATTAGTGTAAGCTTGTTCTTTGTGTATTAAGGAAATGAGCTCATATTCGAAGGAAATTAGCTCTGGCTCGCTCGTGGTGCAGTTTTGTGTTGTTGTTTTTACTTTGCATGTGGCACTTTTTGTTCACTGAAGTTTTAATTTTCTGTGCTGGCAAGGGTACGACCATTTCCTTTGTGGCTTCTGAGAGCTGGATCCTTCCTAGAAGGGCCTTTGCCCATCCCTGACTATAAACAAGCGAACGCAGGCTTTCTTATAGACCAAGTATGTCAAACTCAAAGGCTAACACGGGCCAAATAAACAAGGCATGCGGCCTGCGGGCTGCGAGTTGGATATGCTTGTTATAGATATTTTTATGGACTTCTTTGTAATAAATCTTTGCTTTGTAATAGTATTTGTAAAATTTTTTGTAATTAAATTTTTGCTCCAGCTCCACTTATTTTGGGGTGAGAACTGGGCTTCAGATTTCATATTTCCCCCCACACGGTGGCTGACCTAGCCTAGGAATCCACCATTCTTCTCTCATCTCCTCCAGGAGGCTACATGGCTCCTTTGACGTGCACATCAAGGGCATGACCATTTCCGTCAACCTGGTCCTGGGCAGTGAGTCCTCGGGGAGGCCCACGGTCACTACCTCCAGCTGCAGCACCCACATCCGTGATGTGGAGGTGGACATGTCGGGAAATTTGGGGTAGGTCACCACAGGGGCAGTGCCAGCTGGACCCCTGGCTGCAGCCCGAGGTCCAGCCAGCCAGCCAGCCGGCGACCTGGCCTCTGACAAGCACAAAGGTCCAGGCGTAATGCACGAGCCCGTCACAGGCACTTGGAGGTTGTTATTGGGGACACTGCTGAGATGGACAGATTAACAGACGCACATTCCAGCCAGGAGTCCTGGGGAGCCATTTCCACCAGGCGTTTTCAGGAACTACCTCAGGCCAATGAAATGTGCCTGTTGGAGGAACACCAGGGCTTTTGGCCAAAGGAGAGTTTATGAAAAACATACAAGCCCTTGGGCAAGTGTCTTTGAGTGGAGTGTCCTTGATTAGGGAAATGTGGGTCCTTGAGCCCCTCCCCCAAATCGACTGAATTCGCTTGGGGCGCAGCAGGGGCTGGGATGCCAGATGCCCTGAATCAGTGAGTGTGCCGGAGCTGGGACTCAGGGTCACAGCAGGTACCACACCGGGGCAGGGAGGGCTCCCTCGGGAACCGGCCTGCCGGAGGCCAGGGCCTGGCTTTCCCGGGGCCCCGCCGGCACTGTGCTCAGTGGCACACAGCTGACCTTGCCCTGTGCTCCATTCCCCAGGTGGCTGCTGAGTCTCTTCCACAACCAGATCGAATCCAGATTACGAGAAATACTGGAGAGCAAGGTAAGAATGTCAGAGCCACGCAAGGGCTGGACTCAAGTCATACGTGGGCCAAGGCCCAGAGAGAACAAGTCACCTGCCGCAGGTGGCAGAGCTGGTGGGTCAGCTGGGCCAGCACGTAGGTCTCTGGACTCTGCATCTGTCCTGTAAAGCAGAGAATGGGTAGATGCTTGGCCAAGGGTCGGAAGCAGGGGCCAGCAGACTCCCGCCCCACCCTCCGCTTGGTCTTGCTCACTGGCCCCCACTACCCCACAAAGGCCAAAAGGAAAAGCAGCACTTAGATGCCTGCAGCACCCAGGCAGGAAACTTCAAGAGCGTGTGAGCCGGGTGAGAACCCGCTTCCTACCTGGGCAAGCACATGAGCACCTGCCTTGGGAGGGCAGGCAGTGATAGTGTCAGCTTTTCCCATTTAAAAAATTATGTGAAATCTCCAAATTGTTATATCTCTGGCCAAAACAAAAACATTTCACTCCCATTTCGGAGGTATCACACACCTGGAGCTGTGTCTGCAGCAGTGTGTGCCGGGGGAGGGAGAAAGTATGGAGGAGGAAAGAGAGAAATACACGCTCTTATGTCCCTGCGCCTTGGTCCAAGGTCTGCTTTGGCTCTGAGTGCCCCCTGGTGGTTGAATCGGAATAGCGGGCATCCCCACAAACTGGTGTGGCAAGCTGCATTCTGTGCCTTATGTTCTGGGGTCCTGGGGTCTAGGTGAGTGTGGGAAACATGCAAATCTGCTTCTCCAGCACCTCACTGCCATGTTGTACTGAGTCGGAGGACACAGAGAGCAATGAGCACTCCAGCCAGCCTGTTAAGTGATGACATTTGGAAATACCTACTTTAAATACACACTTATGTGGATGGCAGATCTACGTACTATCCCGTTCTGCTCTTCCCCTCTACATTCCAGGAGCCCGGGGCGGCTCAAAAGAACTGTCCGCAATGGGGGAGCTCAGGGCAGTGCCTCTGGCCAGTGTCCACTCATCAGGCTGTGTAGGCGGCTCCCTAACTCAGATGTCCAGCCCTGGGATCGACTTGGGAAGGTCTGATTGGTCCCTCTTGGGGTCCATGTAGGGACCTAAGTGTCTCTGATTATTTCTGTTTGTTCAGTGCCTGGCACATAGTAAGTACTTATACGTTTTTATAAAATCAATGAGCAATGAGCAAATATGTGAAATGTGACTAAAGCAATTAGCACAGCGCTAGCCCAAAGCCAGGGAACTCCCTCAAGCTTTCTCTCCCATCCTTTCAGGTTTGCGAAATTATCCAGAAATCGGTGACCTCTGACCTACAGCCTTACCTCCAAACTCTTCCAGGTAGGGTGCCCCCCCCCCACCAGACAGTTTATTTCTATTAATTCTCATAAGAGCATATATGTATCCTACAAAATCTTAAGTGGGACAGAAGTATAGAAAGTAAAAATTAAAATTCCCTTTTTCTCCTCAAATTTTCTTCCAAGAGGTAATCTCTGTGTTGGGTGTATCCTCTTCAATATTTTCTTTGCATATACAAATATGCATATACATATACATACACATGTGCATATGAACATACATTCATATATATATTCCTTTGTTCACGAATATAGATGCATATCCATAATTGTGAGTAATATTAATGTACACAGGATAGACATTGTCCTTGTGTAACTTGTATATGTTGAAGATATTTCTATATCAGTGCATATAAATTGATCTCATTTAAAAAAATCTCTTTGTGGAAGTCAATACTTAGAGAAAAGTGCTCCCATTATAAGTGAACAGCTTGAAGAATTTTTACAAACTGAACACATATATACCAGCTCCCAGATCAATATACAGAATATGATTGCTCTCTCGGGTGTCCTTCTGTCACTATCCACCTCTCCACGGTAACCACTACCCCAACTTCTACCAGCAAAAGCTAGTTTTGCATTTTGTCCATGGATGGAACCTTGCAGCACTTAAAGTCTTTTACCAAAAGCAAAGCCTTTCTTTGTTCAACCTTAAAATGAATTTGACCCGTGTTGTTGTAAACCGTGAGCTCATTCATTCTCCTTGCTGTGTAGTATTCCACTGAGTCAAAGTCCCTCCATTCTACTGTTGAAGGTCATTTGGGTAGTTTCAGTTTTAGACCATTATGCATAGCATTGCTATGAATATTCTAGCTCATGTAACGCATGTCTTTGGGTTACACTAGGAGTGAAATTGCAGGCTCACCTGGTATGCATAGTTTCAACGTGATCGGATCCTGACAAACAGCTTTCCAACAGAGTTGTAACAGACCTCATTTTAGTAGCTGTGTAGTAGTCCCTCCGATGGCTGTGTCCTCATTTATTTATTAAGTCCCCAGGCTCTGGGCGTGCAGGCTTGGTGCCTTCCTTTGCTATCGCCCATATGGGGAAGGCAGCACCTCGCCCAACCTCCTTGCCTGCACATGTGAGTGTATCATAGCACAGTCCTCAAAAGTGGAGACCCTGGGTTCAGGATGCACAGGTAAAGTTTGTGGTTCGCTCCCTGACAAATAGCCTGAGGTGTCCTCTGATAGCATGGCCCCTACGCTCCCCTGTGGGCATGCCCCTCCAGTGGAGGCCCAGGCGGGCACAGACCACCCTGTGTGAGATACAGATCCCCTGTTCCTCCAGGGCGTTAGCGGGGAGAGTCTGAGCCCTCTGCACATGCCGACCTTCCTGGCTAATTGGTTTGTGTTGATAGGAGGTCAGTTTCCCCTCAGTTATAAATTTGGGGAGCAATACCCTTGGTCAGAGAATTCTCCCCATTGTGTAGCTTCCTTGGCATGAAGCTCCTGGTGTGAATGGGCTGGCAGACCTGGGCTCCTCTCGCCCTCAGGGTGTGTGTGTGTGTGTGTGTGTGTGTGTTCGCGCACGTGTGCGTGCGTGTCCCTGGAACCTACTCACGCTCAGGCAGAGCACACCCCTCCCCCGATGGCTAATCCACTAGCGGGACAAAAGACCCAGCTGGTCTCTCTCTTACGAAGCAGCTCTTTGCCCAGGGCTGGGCTGGGTGGAGGGTCTGGAGGCAGAGGGGCAGGGGCTCTGAAGAAAGTCACTGGAGTGTAGGTCAGTCAGAGCCCTCACCCCTTCTCCTCGTCTGGCTCCTGATTCTGCCCCTGCCCCGGTTCGCAGTCACAACAGAGATCGACCGTCTCGCTGGCATTGATTACAGCCTAATGGAGGCCCCTCGGGCAGCGGCCCAAATGCTGGACGTGATGTTGAAGGTGAGGGTCCTGGAGCAGGGGCTTGGGTGGGTCCTGCCTCAGCGAGGCATTCATCCCTCAAGATCAGCTCTTTCTTGGAGCCTCCTGTCTGCCTGGCTCAGCTCTGTCCTCCTCTCCCCTGGTTCCAGCTGTGTTGAGGGCGGGGCAACCGGGAGTGGTGGGGAGTGTTCCCGGGGTAGGCTCCTCTCACAAGGGTCTGGTCTGAAAACTCCTAGGCTTGTAGCTTCCCCTCCTTCCCTTCCTCTCCTTCACCTTGCCCTCCATGCAGATGAGCTCAATCAGGAGGTCTGGCCAATAGGTCTTGTGGGTTAACACACCAAAGCTGGTGAGTGTTTTATTAAGGGATTCCGGACATGCACCACTTTAGGAAAGGAAAGACACAAAGGAAAACATCTTTAATGGTGGAGTCTCAGGCAGTGTCTCTAGCCGATGTCCCCCCGCCCCCACCTCCCTATCAACATGTATAGTGACTACCTAGCTCAGAAGTCCAGTCCTGAGGTAAACTTTGAAAATTCAAATGGACCTTATTTTCTCTCTCCAGGCTGAAATTTTTAACCGTGAACATCGCACCCCAGTTGCTTTCCTTGCTCCTGTCATGAGCCTTCCTGAGGAACACACCCGAATGGTCTACTTTGCCATCTCTGATTATGTCTTCAACACAGCCAGCCTGGTATATCATGAGGCAGGGTACCTGAACTTCTCCATCACAGATGATGTGGTGAGGCTGGCGACAGAATAATGCTTACAAATGATGATGTAACCTGGCTTCTCTTCCTTCTTTCCTTTCTGCCTGATTTACATCAGCGAAGTAATAAATTATGACTAAGAAAAAAGATCGGGACCAGGAAAAATATGTCAGTACAATTTCCCTTTTCACTTTGGCTGCCAGGAAGCTCAAAATCAAAGTTCTTTCTTATAACAACTGTAGAAGATTCTGTGGCTTGCTTGCCTGTGTTTTATTCTCTCCCCCTTCCCTCAGTCTAGATCTGTTATTCTAATTCATAATTTCTCTCATTCTGATAGTTTGTAGGTTTTTTTGTTGTTGTTTGTTTGTTTAAAAAAAAAGATTTTAGAGAATGAAATGCATTAAGTTACATAGAATACTAAATAAAGACCAAGTTAAAAGTAAAGCACAATTATGAAAACACTGGACCCATAAATATCTGTCTGGGAGCTTCCTTGTAGCCAAAGTAAAAAGGAACATGATTTAGTGATTCGTGGTAAAAAGCAGAAACAAAGTTCCCCTAGCACATACCTCTAAAACAACGTTCTCAAATGTGGCTTTGTATAAGGAATACTAAATCTTAGAGTGGATCACATCTTTAACCCTTTGCGCTCCAATTTTATTTTTGGAATTCAAACAGTCTGGTCCGAATTGGAAGTCCTTCCTCTCTTGGTTGCAGTAGTTCCCTGGCGGAAATTGCCAGTTAGCTCAATCACCAACTCAGACCTGCTACTAGCGCCTGGTCTGTCAAGTCAGCCTCGATGTTGGAGCGCAAAAGGTTAATATGTCTGGGTTTCAGAAGGTTATTTCTAGTAGCTCTTGTAGCCTGTGAACAATGTCAGGATGGTGGAGAAAACACAGGGTGGTCCAATTTGGATGATCCAGTTTCCCTGGTGATAAATCAGGGACCACCTGGTGAACGACTGGGTGACTTTTCCTTCCATCATCACATCTGATTCCCCCATCCCACCCGTGCTGCAGTCCTTTCTCTTGCAGACAGGATCACATAACTATGTTTTACCGAGTGCCCACTATATGCTAGGCCTTGTGCCAGATGTGTTGTACCCACCATTTCACTGAACCCTCACGATGCCATGATAGGTGGGGACTATTGTTAACCAATTTCACAGGTGAGGGAGTCGAAGCTCAGAGAGGTGAAGGGAGTGGCCCGAGACCGGTAACCGCAGGCATTCGAGAAGTTCCAGTCCGAAACACCCCCCACCTCTCCCTCTCTGTTCAGACCTTCAGTTCTGGAAGGAGCACCCTAAAACTTCTTTGTGTCTCTTCACTGCAGGTTCCACCGACCTCCAACATCCGACTGACCACCAAGTCCTTCCGCGCCTTCGTCCCCCGGGTAAGGCTCCCCTCGGCCCTCGGTGGTGCAGGCCAGCCTTCAGGGGTCTCTCCTTAAAACCCACAGGCTCCTCTCAGCTTGACCAAGAGTCAGAAGACAGCAATGAGCCCCTCAGTGAAGGCCAGAGTGCTGCAGGCTTTGGGACTTTCCTCCCTTCAAAGCCCCAATAGCACTGGCCTGAGCCCCGGGTCTCCTGGGACCACAGGTTGCCCAGCCTTACAGGTGCCATCTGAGAATCCCAAGGAATGCCATCATGACCCATGCACAACGGAATACAATGCTTGGCGACTGTCACCGATCTAACCCCACTGGGCATTAAGTTGTCTGTAAGGTTTTGTGTGTGTGTGTGTGTGTGTGTGTGTGTGTGTGTGTGTGTGTATGCGTTTTAAATATTTCTTTATTAATTTCAGAGAGGAAGGAAGGAGAGATAGAAACATCAATGATGAGAGAGAATCATTGATTGGCTGCCTCCTGCACGCCCCCTACTGGGGATCGAGCCCGCAACCCAGGCATGTGCCCTTGGCCGGAATCAAACCTGGGACCCTTCAGTCCACAGGCCGACGCTCTCTCCACTGAGCCAAACTGGCTAGGGCTGTCTGTAAGGTTTTGCCATGATAATGTCCACTCCCTGTGTCCATGGAACGGTGTCCTATGACACCGCTAAGAGAAAAAGGCACAGAGCATTTTATGGGAGTCAAACCCACCAGAAAGCACGCTCAGAGTTACCTGTCGCCCTCCAGGCTCTCCCGGCAAACCCGTACGTTTCCTTCTCTTGACATAATCTCCTCATTCTGCCCCCAGCTGGCCAAACGCTACCCCAACATGAACTTGGAGCTCCAGGGAAGAGTGGTCTCTGCCCCCGTCCTGAACTTCAGCCCTGGGAACCTGTCCTTGTCCCCCCAGATGGAGGTTGAGGGCTTTGTGCTCCTGCCTAACTCTGCCAGGGAGCTTATCTTCCAGCTCGGTGTGGTAAGGTTTGCTTTTGCAAATGCTGTTCCTTTTTCCCCGTGTGCTTCCCCCACTCACCACAGGTCCAGTTCCTTCAGATTTCAACTTGAACACCACTTCCTCAAAGAGGCCTTTCTCGATTGCTCTTACCCCAGTGCACCTTAGGCTCCTTGTCATTTTTCTCTTGTAGCACCCTATTCATTTACTTCATTACATTTATTATGAATAGACTTAGGCAGCTGATGGCAGGTTTATTTGTTTAATGTAGTTGTCTCCCAGCAAGTGAGTCTGGGCTGCTGTGGGAAGGAAGGCATAGGGGTCTTTGACCTGTTGGCTCTGCATCTATAGCTGACCCCTGAAGACTACATTTCCCAGGATCCCTGGCAGCACTCTGACATCAGCTAGGTCAGCCAATCGAAGGCACTATCAAGAGAATGGCGGGCAGGAGGAAGGAAGAAGCGGAGTATTTTTCCCTCTCTTGTCTAGGACAGAGACAGGGGGAGTGACCGTCTCCTCCACGGTGGCTCCCATAACCCCAGCTCTCTCTGTTCTTCTGGCCTTGAGGTGAAGTAGCTTCCTGCCTCTGTTAATCCCTGAGTGGCCACTTCAACTCTCTTTAGTTTTTGGCTTTTCAGCAATTCCATCTCTTGTATCACCAAGTCCCTGGGTTACATTCCCTCTGAGTTAAACACCGAGAGAGCCCCCCCTCCCCAGGGGACCCTGTCTTCTAGGGAAGGGATTTGGAGCCTTTGGGGACTCTTGCTCACTGGGCGGAGAACTTTGTTCTTTTCTTTTAGGTTTGAAACCCAACAAGACACATTTCTGGAAGGGTAATTGCGCCCACGTGCTATATCTATAACTTGATGTTGTTATGAGAATTTTTGCCACCAATATATTTTAAATGAAAATATAATCTATTATTACTATCATGGCTATTGTTATTCCCAGGGCTGAATCGTAGTCCTGACATAGCGAGAAGTGAGCCCTTTGAGATCTCGGGGACAGGCACTCTACACTTGCTCTCAGTAGCCTGTTCAAAGTTTAGTGTACTCATAGTCAACCATTTCAAGTAAAAATGGCTCAAGTTCAAACATCAAGCACCTACAGTGAGCCTTCTGGGAGTCTATAGTCTACTAGCAGGTTCCTGCTTTAATTCATCGAGCTGTTTATTTAGAGAAGACAGCTGGTCCTTGCAGTACGTGACAGCCTCCCTCACTCAGACCTGTTCCCTTCTCCTGGAATCTCCAGACCACTAACCTGTCGGCCACGTTGACCTTCAACGCCAGCAAGATCACTGGGTTCCTGAAGCCAGAAAAGTAAGTCAGCCTCCCACCCACATGGGGGCGCTCAACCAGGCTTGCTCCATCTGGCTGGCACTCGCCGATTCTCTGTAACTGGAGGTGGGGATGTGACCAGGTCCTCCTGTCAATGTTAAGGGCCCAACATTTAAGAGGGAAACTTAAATCTTGCCCCAGTTAGCCAAATTCTTTTGCCCTTCTGGCCCCACTTCCACCAACTTCCTTTCCACCTAAGCCCCATTACTTCCAGTCTTCTACAGAATGTAGCAATACTGCTTTTTCTTAATCTACGAATTTTAGACATCGGCTGTCCTGACTTCCTGAAGTGATAAAGATTGAGCTCTTGTACACTACCCACCTCCCCTCTTTGAGTCTTCCCAATAAGGTGATATCATTGTTTTTAGCTAGTCATCTTTTTCACTCCCGCCCGTACCCCACCCGTGGCCATGTGCCTTCTCAAGCCAGTGCCTCCTTCTTTCCAGGGAACGCCACCTGGCTTAGGTACCATGGGCATAGTACCCACATCTCTGAGTCATTTCTGATCTGTTGTAGGGTACAAGTGGAACTGAAAGAATCTAAAGTTGGACTATTCAATGTAAGTTATTATTGCTTTTTATCAATATTAGTGTTTTGGTTGGGGTATTGATTAATTCAGAGTCTTTACTAAGCAATGCTACACGGTGCCTAAGAGTAGAAACTGGAAAAGGAGAAGAGCTGTTCTCTGCCCTAGAAAAGTATAGAAGCTCTCAAGGACATAAAACCCAGGGCGAAGCAAAAGTTACATCCCAATGTAAGGCAGTCTATCATTAAATCTCCTGTTGGACCAATTTTTTTAAACTGCAAGGAATAGAAAGCCAACTAAAAATGTCTTAAGCATACGAGAGGAATATATAGAATCATGGGATTAAAAAACAACCACAAAACAAAAACAATGAAGACTACTAAGGCTAGAGATTCCAGGCATAGCTGGACCCAGGTGCTCAAATTAATGCACCAAGAATCTCCATCTCTCTGTTTGCTTTTATCAGTGTTGGCTTTATTCTTGGGCAGGTTATTCCCATTGGTGAAAACCCCCTAAATTTCCTGTGGTTTCATTAAAAAAAAAACAACACCAAAATCCCTGTGCTAGCTCTCATTAGATCAACCTTAGCCACGTGCCCATTCTTTAGCCAATCACTATGGCCAGAAATACGACAAGGCCAGTCAGCCAAGTTTCCTGGAGCCAGAATTTGCAATCCCCAGTAGTATGGACTGAAATTGGAAAGGGGTTTCCCAGGAGGAAAATAGGGACTTGTATTAAAACAAGAGAAATTAATTGCTGGGCACACAAAATGAAGAGATGATTTTCACAAAGAGGAAAAAAAGTGGTGAAATAGTCCCCTATTAAAGGAGGAAAGAGAATGGGAAGATGGGTGTGGGCTGAAGCAATCATGGGGAAATTTCTGAAAAGAGAGAAGGTGGGGTGATGGCAGCTGCTCCTCACAGGCCGAGGAGATGGGAAGACTTGAACTTGTGGTAGTTGTTTTCCTCTTCAGCGTCCCAAGGATACTGACCTCTGACCACACTCACCTGTCCTCCTCTCCCAGGCTTTCCCTTAAGTACTTATGAAGAGGAAAGAAACACATGAAGTGTGGAGAGACACTGTGCACAGGGTCCCCAAAGAATGACTCCTTTCAGAGAACAAAGTGGATAATGACACACTAACATTGTGTCTGGGCACAGCATGTAAATGTTCTAAAACATTTGTAAAACTTATGTAAAGATTCACACAAAGGAGTATTCATTAAGTTTTTGGAACATGTGATAAAAAAAAAGCCAGAGCTATAGAATCAGATAAATTTGGATTCAGATTCTGACCCTGCAGCCCAGTGTCTAACAGGCCACTTTCATTCTGATGGCCTCAGTTTTCTTATCCATGATATGGGGACATTGATGTCAACTTAAAGGGGTTATTGTAAAGACTAAAGCAGATATATGCGATGCTCTGGGTCCTACACCTGGCACATAGTGGATGTTTAAACTTGTGTATCTTGCCCTGACTGGTTTGGCTCAGTGGATAGAGTGTCGGCCTGCGGACTGAAGGGTCCCAGGTTAGATTCTGGTCAAGGGTGTGTACCTTGGTTGCGGGGTGTGCAGGAGACAGCTAGTCGATGTTTCTCTCTCATCGATGTTTCTAACTCTCTATCCCTCTCCCTTCCTCTCTGTAAAAAATCAATAAAATATATTAAAGAAAAAAACTTGTGTATCTTAAATTTTGTTTGTTACACAAGTAATTCAGGAAAAAATTCTCACTGTAAAAAACTGTTTTTGAATATTTAAGACAATGCTAAGCCAAACTTCGATGTTCTTCCTAGAGGAAAGATGGTTGGGTGTGTAGTCTTCCAACATTTTTCTCTTTTGCACACATATAAGTATACATCTTGATGTAGGTGTCTATCTGAAATTTGCTTTTTCCAAGTCTTTTGCCATGTCAGCACATACCATACCATGTCACCTCCAGGGTGGCTGTGTGGAGGTTTATCGGTGGGCAATATGGTGCATGTGGTCACAGTGTTCTCTGCCAGGTGGAGAATGCTGTGACCAGGTGAACAGTGGCCACATGTGCCATTCTCCTGTTCTCCACCAGGTGGAGCTGTTAGAGGCGCTGCTCAACTACTACATTCTCAACACCCTCTATTCGGAGGTCAATGGTAAGTATCACTATGGATTTTTCCAAGTCAAGAGTGGACACTGGTTTTGGGGGGAAAGAGAGCTGGACTTGGAGTTGGGAGACAGGGTTCTCCTGCAGGCTATGAGACCTGGGCGAGTCACTTCCCTATGAGCGCCAGGGGCTGTCTTCGCAATGGGAGTGTTGAAGGCCACCTCATCTCCCTCCAGGGCTTAATGAAGGCTGGGGCCTGGGGCAACAATTCAGAGCACAGGAAACTCCTTCTAAGAGAAGAAGAGACTCACAGAGGTGCCCCCAGCCCTCTGAAGTGGCAAGGGAAAGACTAAAGACCTAGTTCATATAGAGAGCACAAGACAGCCCCCTCTAAATTCACATTTCTGATTCGGTTGCCAACACCCTTTAAACATTTAAGCATAAAGACCTAAGCCCTATTTCATTTGGCTGCAATAGAAAGCAACATAGGAGGGCAGATGCCCACGGCTTCTTATCATGAGTGCATTCCACCCCATGCCTACCACTCCTTCCAAATAGCCTCATGGTGGCAAGCTCAGGCTCCTGTAGCAGCCTTCCTGGGGTTAAATCCCAGTTCGACCCCTTTCTGGTGTGTGAGCAAGGATAAGTTACTCGGCCACTCTGTGGCTCAATTGCCTTATCTGTAAAATGAGAATAATAATCCTATCTACTTCACAGTCTTTGGTGATAATTAAATGAGACTATGCTGTGTATAGAGTTTGCACAGAGGCCTTTTTTTTAAAAAAAAAAATTCTTTGTCTATAATTGCTATTAACAAATTTCTCTCAATGTTGTGCCTCGACCTCCAGCTAAACTGGCATCAGGCTTCCCCCTTCCTCTGCTAAAACATATTCAGCTCTATGACCCTGTTGTCCAGATCCACAAGGTGAGTGGGTTCAGGGGGCTCAGGCGGTTTGGGGAGGGGACTGTTGAGCTTTCCAGGTTCAGAGGCCAAAGCTCAGAGGGTGAGGTCCAGCCCATCCCTGCAGCCGGGAAAGCCTGGCCTGGGGTGGGATGGTAACGGCCACGAAGCCATCCACCTGTCCTTCCAAAGTGGCGCTTCTGTGGGAGCGGAAGGTAGTTGACACGGTCAGGGTTAAACTGCCTTCTACCCCTCACCGTGAGTGACCAGGGGCGGCCGCAACACCAGCTCATTTTTAAATACTGTAATCCTAGATATGCCAACAGGCCACGTTCTAAAAGCCATTTGTAGCTTTTTAAAATGTCTTCTAAATTCTTAAGTGGAAGAGCTTTATTATAAACTAGTGGCCCAGTGCATGAAATTCGTGCCCAGGGGGCAGGGGCGGTACGTGTCTTCAGCCTGTCTTGCACCCTCTCCAATGGGATTGGGCCTAAACCAGCAGTCAGACAAACCTCTTGCAATCTGGGACCGCTGCATGCCTGCATGCCTGATCGCCCCTAACCACTCTGCCTGCCAGCCTGCTCACCCTCAACTGCCCCCCCCCCACTGGCCTTCTCACCCCCATCTGCCCCTCCTTGCTGGCCTGATCACCCCCAACTGCCTTCCCCTCCTGGCCTGATTGCCCCAACCACCTCTGCCTCGGCTCTGCCACTATGGCTTTGTCTGGGCAGCGGCCACGGAGCCGGCTGGGGCAACCAAGAAAGCCAAGCCTCCCACGCTCGCTCTCTGGCTGGCTTGGCTCCATGGCTCCCACCGGCGCCATCTTTGTCACATAAATTTGCATATTCCCTCCTTATTGGCTGTGGGCGCCGCCATCTTTATCGTGAAGTGATGGTTAATTTGCATATTACTTGTTTATTAGATAGGATATGTGTTTGGTGTGCTCCCCCTCATAGACCCATTACTCCCACATACACCCACAGTTTGAATTTTAATATACTTCCTTCAGTATTTTTTATCTCGCTAAGCATTTGAAAAAATTGTGTTTTCAATAGTTGCATTGCTAGTGCTCATACATGTATTCTTTTTGTTGCAATCTAGTCCCCCACGCGCGTCCCCCCCCTCCCCCCCGTGTTAAGTACTGCCTCATCCATCAGATGGACCATAATTTACTGAACTATTTTAGGACCAAGGAACATATCTAATTCTTCACTATTCTCTCCACTGCTCAATCGAGCATTTTATGGTCCATCTGTGCCTCACAGCCCAGGGTATCTTTCTAGGGCAGCGTCCGTGAGGTGGGGTGACTGGGATGGTGGGCACTGAAGGAGAGGCTGCATTGTGCCCGGCACAGCATCAACATCCAGCAAACAACAGCTGCGAGGAGAGCGAAGGGCAGCGGTGTGGCCAGGACGGTTGAAACACTGGCCACCTGATATATTTGAAAGTCAAATTTCCAAAAGTCTTTTGGGCGCTGAGATACTCAACACCCAACTTCGGTTGGGCGTTTACAAGGAATCAGACGGATTGTTGTTCCGAGCAAAGACTGAGTGACAGTTCATGCAGCTGGCCCCAGTTTTCTCCTCTGTAAAATGGGGTGTAGCCCGTAGCCTACTGGGCTCCTGGGACAGTAAGAGGCCAAGCACGGAAGCGTCTCGCTCAGTGTGGCTCGTGGGAAGTCATTGGAAGATGTATGACATGCTTGTATTCATTAGAATTGTGAGCTCCATTCTGTCCATTCGTTTGACACCCAAAGGCAGGGGATGTCTCGCCGGGGGAAAGACTAGGACTTTGCCTTGAGTGCAGAATTCCTGCCCCTTTGGGTGATGGAAACCTACGAGGAAGTGGGAGCGGAAACCCTGGCGGCTCACAGTTTTGTATTGTTTGCCAAGGAGAGAACATTCAGGTGACACAGAGGACATTTATGAGGCCTGCCCGGAAGCAGCAGCTTGGGAAATGGCAGATAAATCGCCGCCTTAGAGCAGGTCGCTGGCAAAAGCAGTGCTTTATGGAGACCTTGGGGACGGAGGCACACTGCGATTTATGTACTGACCTGGTTTCTGGAAGAGCTTGTGTCTCCACAGACGTGGGCCCCCTTTCAAATCGGAGAAGCATCTCTTCGAAGCAGAGGATGCGTTTACCATCCTGTTCTGTCTTGTCTCTCCTAGGACTTCCTGTTCTTAGGTGCCAACGTCCAGTACCTGAGAGTTTGAGGGCGAGGAGACAGACGGGCATGGAGGCCGCAGCGGGGTCAGCAGGGTGCAGCTTCAGATCTGCAGGCTATTCCCGGAGATTCTGGGAGGATGAAGACTTTCCTGTTCTCTCTGCGGGGAGGTCTGCCTGGCCTCTGCCCCCCACTCCTCTTCGGGAAGTGTGCCCAGGCACTCTTCAACTCCAGACTTTACTTTCTCCGCCAGGATGGACCATCGTCCTCACTGGCCTGTAGATCGTCAAGGGCAGGCACCATCGTTTTCATTCACCGCCTGATCCCCATGCACAGTGCTGGCACGTAGTGGGTCCTCAATAAATACGTACTGAATGATTCACTGAAGGAACCACCTGGTCCTCCCTATTGCCCACGGGATCTTTAGATGGTCAGTCCCATCTGTGGTCTCCAGTGCCTGGCCCTGACCACACTCCCCTTTCCCATCCGCTGCTGCTGTGGGAACCTCAGTGAGAGAAGAAGGGATTCTGCTCCCCGCTCAGCCCTGGACCTGGCACTGGTGCCCGCTCTCTTAAGGGGCTTGTCCATCTTGGTTTATGGGGAATTCGTGGGCTCATTTTAATACATGCCTCTCAACCCCCTCACCTCCTGCCTGCTGCAGACATGGAGCCAATGGGTCTCCCAGAGCAAACACTCAGCCTCCAACTGCTTTCCCCATTGACACGGGTGTAAATTAGGAGGAAATTGACCCGTCTCGGGTTTTGGTCCGACCCAAATAGAAAGCTCATCCCCCTGCTGTTTATGAGCCGCCAGCCTGGAGGAAGAGGCCTTGGTTTCTAATCATCGCGCAACCAGACTTTGATCAGACTAAAGAGCCGCTTCCAACCTATGTGGTTGGTTACCCCAGGACTGGGAATCACCAGGATCGTTTGGTATTTTTTTATTGTGCTCGCGAGCAGATGGATGGCGCTGCCCGCTAGCAGGTAGGTCACAGGGAATAGACGGATTTACCGTGTGTGACAGATGCGGTCCAAGATGGGACAATGGCTGTGTGAGCCGTGGCTGCCCCTCCCTCTCCTAGCTCCTTTGGCTCACTTGTCCGCCACCATCATCCATCGCTGTGGTGGATGGGGGAAGGGCCCAGGCTTCTTCCAGTGCTAGCCATGTGGTCTTGAGCAGTCCCTCTCCCCTTGGGGTCCCCACCTATGAAATAGGGGTGATAGTAATAGTAGCTACTTCCCAGGGCTGTGATGATGATGAGGTTAGGTAACCTGTATAAAAGGATTTATTTAGCCATAGTGAGGACTCAATAGGTATTGGCCAGACCTGCTTACCAAGCATCTCCCGTTTGCGGGCACTGGGTCGCTCAGCATGGGGTACGGAGAGGCAGCTTAGACCCAGTGCCAGCCCTGCTCTTAAGAGCATTGCCTCGGATGTGGTGGAAGAGCCAGCCTTGTTTCCGGTGTACTTGCTTTGGGCTCCTGGCAAGGCCTCGCTGAGCCTCGGTGTCCTCACATGTCCAGTGTGGCCAGGGACCCCTCCTTTCAGGGTGACTAGGGTCGCGATGGGTTCATGTCAGGCTTCTGGGGATGCCCCGGGCACAGCCAGGTCCTGGTAAACGGCTGGTGCTACTTCACCTGCCTCACTTTGGGGTCCCCGGGAGCAGACCCTGCGACAAGGAGGAGAGGTTTCCAGTGGAGAGAAAATGAGATGGGGCAGGGGAGGGAGCCTACGAAAGGTATGTGATCAACCAGTTAAGGGCCACAGGTGCTGGGGTATGTATACACCCTCCCCTCTCGGTCACTGTTTGAGGGGAGCTCTTGGCTCCAGTCTGGGCAGAGCGGGCGCTAGCAGCCACAGAAACTTCTCATCAAAGAACAGCAAGTGTGCGATGCGCCTCTTCCCTTGGCCGACTTTAGTTGGCATCCTTTCCCTTCAATAAGCGGTTACTGTGAGTGTAACAGCTTTCTGTGAGACCCGTGAGACTTTCCAGTGAGTTATAGAACTACGGGTGGCCCTGGCCAGTTTGGCTCAGTGGATAGAGCGTCAGCCTGTGGACTCAGTGGTCCCAGGTTCGATTCCGGTCAAAGGCATGTACCTTGGTTGCGGGCCCATCCTCGGTGGGGAGTGTGCGGGAGGCAGCTGATCGATGTTTCTCTCTCATCGATGTTTCTAAGTCTCTATCCCTCCCCTTTCCTCTCTGTAAAAAATCAATAAAATATATTTTAAAAAAAAGAACTGACAGGTGGTCGGGTGGTCGTGGGGACCTTCAAACGCGCACCTGGTGGCAGAGTGAGGGTGGCCTGTGGACTGGGCCACATCTCCCTTCACAGGGGGGTCTCCTGTTGTCCGGCTCCTCAGGACACGCTGCTGCTTCAGACGCTGAGCCCGAGGAGAAGACACTTGGAACCTGTTCTCTGTAGCCTGGCTGAGCCTGGAGGGCCCCCACCTCCTGCCCCCAGCTGACTCATCCTCAGCTCTGCTCTCGTAGCTGCTACAAGCCCTGTATTGGTCGGGCTCCCTAACTGCACACTTCATAATCCACTGTGGTTAGCAGAAGCAGGAAGTCCGTCAGGCCAGCAGTGGCTGCACTCACCCTCATGCACAGTAAGTCCTCAATGTCTTCAATAGGTTCTGTGACTTTAAGTGAAGAGACATAATGAAACCAATTTTACCACTGACATAAACAAGAATTAAGTTCCTATGGCATCTCATCAACATTATAATGAAATGACACTGAATGAAAGAACAGTGTTCAAGGACCTGCTATATACACTTTTGGTCCAGACCTCTCTTCTGTCCCCTAACGACAGGCTTGACATCCCCTCGGGCGGACTGGCTGTGAGGGCTGCGCCTGGCTCCTGTGACAAGGGAATCTGTAAAGGCGTCCTGAGGCTTTTCCCTGGAGTCTGGTGCATAAATCCCTCCACCCTCCCGCCCTCAGCACATCTGCCTGGGCCCGCTTCTCCCAGGCCGCAGAGGAACGCTGGCAGTAAAACACAGCAACACAGACGGCTGCTTTATGGGCCGAAGAAATGATTTTCCACCTGGGGCCACTAAAGAATCCAGAGCTGAATCTCCACTTCCCTGAGCGAAGGCTTTCTCTCGCCACAAGTGATCTCACAGGGCCCGTAGGCTGTTTCTAAAGGGATGCTTTCACCACTACCACCTCGTCTTGGGTGCAGGGGTAGGCCCGAGCCATCACCTGCACCCCCGAGACCCACTCAAGCCCAGCTAGATTTCAGCCCACCCAGCCCACCCCCAGAAAGCTTTCTAGACCTGCAGTCCAATCAAGAATGGTTCTCTAAGAACTGCTCCTGCACAGAATCATTTTAAGAGTCAGTATAGCCCAGCCGGCATGGCTCAGTGGTTGAGCGTCGACCTATGAACCAGGAGGTCCTGGTTTGGTTCCTGGTCAGGGCATGTGCCCAGGATGCGGACTTGATCCCCAGTGTGGGGGATGCGAGAGGCAGCTGATCTGTATGTGATTCTCTCTCATCATTGATGTTTCTATCTCTCTCTCTCTCCCTCTCCCTTCCTCCCTGAATCAATAAAAAATATATATATATTTTTAAAGGGTCAATATAAAATAGCTAAAATGAAAAACACAGACAAAATCTAAGCATTGGCAAGCATGTGGACGGAGTAGCTCGAACACTTGCCTGTTGCTGGTGGGAGTGTAAAATGGGTACATCCAGTGGAAGGATCTGCTAACGTTGAACATGCATGTCCCTATGACCAGCAATTCCATTCCTCAAGGACTGGCTGCATATGTTCAACAAAAGACACGTGCTGGTATGTTTATGAAGCACTCTTCATAACAAACCCTCACTGCAAATACCTCCCATGCCCCTCAGGAGTGGACAGGCGAACTGTGGAGGAGTCGCACATGGAATAGTAACAGCACTGAGCCAAAATGAACGTCACCTGCACGCAGTGACAGACGAATCCTGCAAACAGGATGCTGAGCGAAAGAGACTGGACACAAAAGGGTACGTACTGTTTGGTTCCGTTGATGCAAAGTTCAAATACAGGCAAAAGGAATTCGTGGAAGTCAAAGTTGGGAGGGCGCTCATGCTGCCAGGAAGGAGTAACCGGCAAAGGCCAGGAGGATCTCCTGGGGTTTTGATACTGTTCTGCTTCTTGACACGTGTGTGAGTTCACTTGGTCAGCATCCATCTATGTGTACACTTATTATTTGCACACTTTTCTGCACATGTTATACTTCAAAGAAGTACATATAAGACACGCCTGTATTTATGAGACTTTTTATAATGTCTTTGATTAATTAGGCTCCCAATAAATTTCCATTTCTCCAGGTTTTTCCATCCAATAAAACAGAAGCACAATTTGCGTAGGCTGTTTATCACGGCACTGTTTATAACAGCAAAAGAATAACAAAGCACAACATAACAAAAACCAAAAGCCACCTGTGGCCTTGATAAGAACCGGTAGGTAAAGTGTGGGGCATACAAGCAAAGGGAGACTATGCAGTCTAAGAAGAATGACCCTATGAGCAAACATAAAAAGCCGGCAAAGGCATTATCAGGTGAAAAGAGTAAGCTAGGCAGATACGGTGTTATCTCCTTTAACTGAAAGCGCTGTAGACACATACACATAAGCTTATAAGTATACAGGAAATTTCTAGGGGGTTATCCAAAATGCTGGGAACGAAGTCAGTTCTGAAGATTGGAAATGAAGGGTTTGTAAAGTTAGGAAGCTTTTACTTTCCTTCTTATACCTGTTTGGTTTTCTTTTCTTTCTTTCTTTCTTTTTTTTTTTTTTACACAAAATATTACTTAAAAAAAAAAAATGTAAAGATGTAAATCAAAGTAATTTAGGCACATGCTTAAAAAATCAAATGTGCAAAAGGGCTTATAATAAGAAGCCACAGTCTTAAAGGGAATATTAGCTCCTTGCTAATATTTTAAAAGTATAAATCATAATGAATTCTCTTAGAAGCATTATACTTGTGTACTCTGTTGCTTTATGTCTCATTTTTAATTGGACATTAAGGGAATGCAGTATTTTAATTGTAACTCCGCCAATATCTTCATCTAGAGACGTGTTGCCATTTTTGTCTGTTATGAAATTTCTGTTGCCAAGAAAGTCAGGATTACATTATTTTCTTTCAGATTGCATTGGTGTAGTGCATTCTTGGTTACCAAAATACTCAGATAGCTTAGGGGCTATGAAATGGTAAATATTCATGATGTGTGAGAGAGCATGATACATAACCGTACAATCCCAATTCCAAAAGAAAGGGAAGCTTAGCTGTGTAGAGACACAGGAGACTGAGAAGGACACGTCAGACTACAAACTGCTTGTGATTATGGATGGCTTGTTCTTCGCTTCTTGTGTTTTTCAGTTTCCTACTATATGCACATGTTAACTTAAAAAAATAATGTTATTTTTTTAAAAAAAAAACAACAAACTAAAAACGGTCTCATTTTATTATTTTGCATCTAGATACCTAGCTTCCCCACCATCATTGGTTAAAGATAATATGTTTGTATGGGAAATAAAGCAACAATTAATAATCAATAATACAAGAATAAACTCTATGTTTCAAGTACTCACAACTGAAAACCTACTTTTGCCCCACCCTGTACTTTACCCTCCCCCCCACCACCACCACTGTGCAGTCTGGCACCCTTGTCGAAGATCATTTTGCCATACATGTGTAGGTTTATTTCTGAGCTCTCTATTCTCTTCCATTGGCTTATATGTCTGTCTTTATGTCAGTACTGTTTTTATTTCTGTAGCTTTGTAATATGTTTTTAAGTCAGGAATTGTGAAGCCTCCAGCTTTATTTTTCTTTCCTGAGAATGTTTTGGCTATTCAGGACCCTTTTTGGATCCATATAAATTATAGGATTGTTTTTCTACTTCTGTAAAAATATGTCATTTAGCCTGGCCAGTGTTGTTCAGTGGTTGAGCGTCGACCTATGAACCAGGAGGTCACAGTTTGATTCCCGGTCAGGGCACATGCCTGGGTTATGGACTTGATCCCCAGTGTGGAGCATGCAGGAGACAGCCAATTAATGATTCTCTCTCATCATTGATGTTTCTCTCTCCCTCTCCCTTTCTCTATAAAATCAATAAAAATATATGTATTTTTAAATGTCATTTAGATATGGATAGGGATTGCACTGAATCTGCAGGTCACTTGGAGGAGTATGGACATTTTGACAGTAGTATTAAATCTTCCAACCCATGAACATAGGATGTCTTTCCATTTATCTGTGTCTTCTCTAATTTCTTTCAGCAATGTTTTTTAGTTTTCAGGGAACAAAGCCTTCTTTCTTAGTTAAACTTATTCCTAAGTAGCTTATTCTTCTTAATGCTACCATAAATGGGATTACTTTCTTAATTTCCTTTTCAGATTTTTCACTTCTCATGTGTAGAAATGCAACTAATTTTTATATGTTGATTTTGTATCCTGCAATTTTGTTGAATTTGTTTATTAATTCTAATGGTTTTATTGTGGAATCTTAATGCTTTATACATAAAAATCATGTCATCTTTGAACAGAGATAATTTTGCCTCTTCCTTTCTGATTTGGATGCCTTTTTTTCTTTCTCTTGCCTAATTGCTCTAGCTAGGACTTCCAGTACTATGTCAAATAGAAGTGGTTATAGTGGACACCCTTGCCTTGCCTTCTTCCTAAAATCAGAGTATAAGTTTTCAGTATTTCCCCATTGAGTATGATGTTAGCTGTGGGCTTTTCATATATGGGCTTTATTATGTTGAGTTAGTTTCCTTCTTTTCCTCATTTGTTGAGTATTTCTTATCACGAAAGGTGTTGAATTTTGTTGAATGCTTTTTCTGCATCTATTGAGATGATTATGTGATGTTTATCCTTCATTCTGTTAAGGTGGTATTTGATTTGTGTATGTGGACCCATCTTTGCATCCCACGGATAAATCCTATTTAGACATGGTGTATGATCATTTTAATGAGCTGTTGAATTCAATTTGTTATCATTTTGTTCAGGATTTTTCTCATCTAGAGTCATCAGAGATATTGACCTAGTACTTTTCTTTTCTTGTACTGTCTTTGTTTGGCTTTGGCATCGGGGTAACACAAGCTTCATAAAATGAGTTTGGATG